GTTGACTTTTGAGCAAACGACCCCGGAATAGAATTTTGATGGTGTCAATAGCTTCATATGATGATTTCGGACTTAGGTGTATGTTCGAATTTGGATTTGGAAGTCTGTAGGACAATTCGACGCATTTGGGCGAAAGTTGAAAAAATAGAAGATTTTTGGAAAGTTCGACCGAAGGTTGAATTTTTGATAACGAGGTCAGATTTTGATTCCGAAAATTGGAATAGCTCCATTACGTCATTTAAGAGTCGCGTGCAAAATTTGATGTCATTCCGGATTGATTTAACATGTTTCGACGCAAATTATAAAATTTGAAAATTTCATAACTCATAATTCGATTCGAGGCACGATTCGTAGTTTCGGCATTGTTTGATGTGATTTGAGGCCTCAACTAAGTTCGTATCATGTTTTGAGACTTGTTGGTATGATTTGAAGGACTAGATTAATTAGTTGTACATTTATTTATTATTTGTTGAGTAATATTAATGGTGTTCATGTTGTCGTGCTGTGTATATCACTGGTTGATTAGTATTTTCATTATTGTTATTTGTTTTCGATTATTCTTGTATACTATATTGCACAGGTTATTAGACTAGTGAGTGTCTTGATTGTACCTCATCACTACTCCACTAAGGTTAGTCTTGATACTTACTGGGTACCGACTGTGGTGTACTCATACTACACTTCTGCATATTTTTGTGGAGAGCCACGTATTGGAGATATCGTACTCGGACAGAGTTAGAGTGTGATCACAAGGATTCAAGGTAGAGCTGCTTGGTCGTCGCAGTCCCTTTGAGTCTTTTCATTTTATTGTATTGTTAATTATTAATCAAACAGTATTGAGTATTCGATCCTTGAGATCACTTCATATATTCAGTTAGAGTTCGTGACTCAGTATTACCAGTCTTGGTAGGTTGTTTGTAATTATTTCCGTTGTTGGTTTTGACACTTGTATTATAATTATAATTATATGTTTAAAAAGAAAAAAAATTGGCTTAAATTGTAATTATAATCGGCTTACTTAGTCTTAGAGACTAAGTGCCATCACGACGCCTGTGGTGAAATTTTGGATCGGACAGTGGACTTGAGGAATCTAACACAATTCCTCACTCTCGATTTGAACTCGAATACAAAAAATACTTTCTGCCTCTTTAATTTTATAAGATCATATTTTAATTTATTAAGAATTTAATTACTTTTAATTTTATAACTCAAATACATTTTAGTAATATAACTTTTTTTAATTTTGTCATCCGTATGGTTACACGTGCATCGCACGTGTCAAAAAATTAGTATATATATATATAAGAATCATATCTAATGTGTGAAGGGACTTCTGTATCTTTCTAGACGATACGCCATCCTTTAGTATATCGAAATCCCCTTTCGTTTAGTGGTGGGAAATCAAAGGTCTCCTGATATATCATCGCTCAAAACCAGTAGATTCTTTAATCTACTGATCTCCCTTCCAAACTTGCGATCCTTCATGTCTATTGTGGCTAATAGTGGATGAAAAAGTTCTTGATCCTTAATTTGTTGATAATCAATCAGTTATACTCAGGATTTTATTTTCTTCCTATCGAGAAGATAACAAATTAGGGTTGTTTATTAAGAATATATGTAATGCATCATCCTTAATGCTCTTAGCGTCTTTGTATTCAAAAAGGGAAGAGACAACAAAATGTTAGAATTTCTCTTATCTTCGTGAAAAACAATAAGTAAACAAATTCTTATAAACAATCAGGAAAAAAGATATACATATGTCAGTTCACCAGACATGTAATTTGGACAAACATATTTATATAGTCCAATCTCAGTCCTTAATTATTTCTGACATTCAACTTAGAGATGCTAACCATGGATTATATTATGCTAAAAGTAATTATTAACATTGTATCAAGCAGTGGATAGGTTATTATAATGTTTAACTGTAAAGGTGTCATCAATTAATCCAAAAGGAATTTTTTGGTAACAGCTACATATATCATTAGAAAATGTGAATGACTATTTTGTATTAATTAAATCTAATTTTTTAAAATGACTTGCTAACTTATGATCTAATTTTGGAATGCTAATTGTAAGATGGTCGAGGATTACTTACTTATGGAACATCATACTACTAATTGATCCCACAAACTAATATCATCAAATAAACTGCATGCTCGTTTGAAGATTATTTCTTGAATTTCGAAGATTATTAAGCATTATTGGCTAAAAACTGTTGTTATTTCTTGATCTTTATCTACTTACCAAAGTGGAGTATCATATATCAGAAAGAGATAAATCAGATGATAATGTTACTCCAAAATAAACACATCAATCTTAGTTGACCTATCACCTTAATTTCGACCCGATCACTAATTAGAAAATTTTAATAACGAAAAATTGAAACTTGAAGGCTTTATAGTGTGCTTGAATTTTCTCACATAAAGATGAGAACAAAGTGAAAAACGAAAAGAAACAAACAAAACCCGAAAGTTTATATTACTGTGAGGGCCACTCAATCCTAATAAATCCCTTAATTTTCCCGTGGGAGACCATACGTAAGCACTTACGCAAATATGATTATTCCAAATATAAACACAAATAAAGCTTGAAGATTAACCCTAACCAAACCACTTTTTATGCAATTAATTAAATTTAAGGTTTGGTGTTATTCCATGTTACTCAATATTCCATATTTAAATATGGCCCCAATTTCTCCCACTTAATAGGAATTTGTGTTGTTAAAAAGCTGATTGGGTGGCTGACATGTGCGTAGCTTTTTAATGTGGTTATTTTTAAACGCATTTCCGTTTTTTAGTTTTTAAGATCGGAATTAAGAAGGAAACTCCAAATGCACATTCACAGGTTTGTAGGTTAATTTGAAGCTCCTCTGCACAAATATTATGGTTAACTAGAGAGTAGAGGTGCACAAAGAAAATCGATAAACCGCATCAAACTGATAATTCGAGTCAAATCGGAAAAAAAACCCGATTATGGGCTGGTTTGAGTTGGTTTGGTATTGAAAAATAAAAATCCACCTTAATTGGTTTTGTTTGGTTTGAACTAAAAAAATCAAACTTAATGAAGCCAAACCAACCCGATAATATATTTATATAATTTTTAAAAATATTTTATACATATAAATATTTATTGTAATGTAATTTATAAATATGTCTTAAACTTTTCACATTTTTATCTTGTAACATATTATTTCAAGTTTGGACTTAACATTCTTGAATGGTAAATAAATTTTATAGCTCATAAATGTAGTAACTCAAACAGAGTTCAAATCAATATCAATGCTAATAAAAAAAATTCAATTCAAAACTATGAATGACAATAGTGTTGGATTTTTTAGTTTTACATTGGTTTATAATAAAAATACATAACTTATTTATCTTTTTCTTTAGTGCTTAGTTGTGTAATTAATAGTATTTATTAGCTATATTTATTTTAGAATGATCTACATAGTATTTTTAGATTATGTTAATTTTTATTATTGCTTATTAATTAGCAATATTTGCTTTATGTAATTTTATTATCTTTGTTATTGAATATTTTAGTATAATACAACTTATCTCATATTATTGTGTTATTTTCTTGGAAAACACATTATATACTTATATCTTACTAGAACTAAAGAAATATTTGGAGCACAAGTTACATAAATTTTGTGCTTTAAAGACTTTACCGGAGAAAAAACCTGAAAATCCGAAAAAATCGAAAAGACCGAGAATAAACGAGATTAAAAAAACTCGACTTTATTGGTTTGATTTGGTATATAATTTTAAAAAATCCAACACCATTAATTTGATTTGGTAATTGAAAAATCCGAGCTAACCTGACTTATGCACGCCCACTCTTATAATTAGGCGCTCACTAAATATCAACATCAATCTTTTTCGCTTCACCCTTCTCAAAGTCAATTACCTTCATGTGAGTTTCCTTCTTAATGATAAACAACTAGCTGTGACATTGCACTAGCTAGTTAATTTATTTTATTTGCAAATCCTAGCTAGGCATAAAGCTACCTTACACTAGTATAATTTTTTTAACTTTATCATTAATATGTATATGCTTAATTTCTTAGACAAAATTCTTTTTTGACACTCTAGACTTCCAACAAAAAAAAAAGAGCAAATAAAATTGTCTAGTAACCGTGATCGAGTGAGAAAAAGAGAACATCTTTTCTTTTTGAAACAGATTGAAGAATTTAAATAGTTAGGAAAAGAACAGACATTCGTTGCGTGAGTTTTGAGACTCAAATATTATATTGTGTCGGAATCGTATAGCTAACTTTTATATACTTTCTGCGCCAAACATAGTACCTTAATTAGTGCTAGTACATAGGAAGAGCATGATTAATTCCAATAGTTTCATATTGTAAAATGCACATGGTGCACAAACTACTATTGTCAACACTTTTTGGTGGGGGAATACTGATGCTTTTTGAACATATTGTTAATAGGAGTAGTTTCTTTTCATTTTCTTCCTTTGCTTTTCGTGCTACCAAATCAAAGTATAGTTTCCTTTACACAAAGAATGCTTAAGAAATTAATCCGGAGCGCATTTCCTAATTAAATGTATAGCAACAGAAAAAGATATGTTCTGGATTTTCAGAAGTAAACACATACTGATATACCCCCGCCTCCGGCAGCTTACTTTAAAAACTACTCCATACATAGATTCCATCAATTTATTTTCTCATTATATTCAAGAAGATCTCTAGGGTTTCCCACAATGGCAGCATGTTATAAACAACAAATTAAGCCGCGTTCAACCGGAACTAATTATTTTCGACACAGGTTACAAATATATCTATAAAAATCACTAAATTTCAATAAATATTACACTTTACAATCATCAATTTAAAATCTTGGATTCGCCAATAATAATTAAATAACAATGAGTTGAGAATACTAGTACTAGGATAAATCATATCTGTGATTCAATGAATTAACATGAAAAATTAAGTAGCTTCAATATTCTACTCCATTATCTGACGAATATTATTAACTCTAACGTGACGTTGAAACAATAACCTCCCAAACTCTAATTTCTCCATCCAAACTTCCACTTAAAACAGAAAGAACCCCATTATTATTTCCATTATTATTATCATCATCCCATTCCCAAGCTGCTGTAACTGACTTCACTGGCTTACAATGCCCTTCAAAAACTATCGAGCAAAAATATCCACATTCTGTATTATTACTACTCTTTTGCCAAATCCTCACATTTTTATCAGATGATCCACTAATTAAAACATCATCAATATAAATCAAGCACAAAATTGCACCCTTATGTCCTCTTAATGACCACGTAGCCAACATATAATCAGCACAATATTCCTCTCTTTCCCATACTAATATTTTTTCATCACATCCTCCTGAAAATAAAACCGACCCTTCCTTATTCAGAGCCAATGCATTCACTGTAGATTTGTGTTTCTTCAATGTAGCTACTAAAATATGCTTATTTTTTTCTCTTTGCCAAACTTTTATTTCCCCATCAGCCGAAGCTGTGTAAACGACGCCGTCATGAGAAACAACAATGGCGTTAATAGCATCAACATGACCTATAACGGATTCTAAACAAGAAAAATTCGACATATTCCAAATTTTGAAGCTTTTATCCCATGAAACTGAATACATTAACCCCTCATTATTAACAGCTAATCCTGAAACAGTATCTGCATGTTCTATCCAGAGTTTTTGCTTGTGACGTCTAATTTGGACGTAATTTTTAGGAGAAATGCCACGTCGGATCCGATCTTTTAAAGTTGGAAGAGTTGAGAGGAGTTGATGTTTTATGGAGGAGGGTGTGAGTTGCCAAACTCTAATTTTGCAATCTTGATGAGCTGTGAAGATTTTTGTATTGCTAAACGCAATTGATTTTACTATGCCAAAAGATGAAGTTGTTTGACGGCTGAATGTGTCGATTTGTTCATAGGTTTTTAAATCGAAGGCAGTGATTTCGTTGAGAGATGCAGCGTATAAAATGTCATTGTGAATGGCTAGATGGGAAATTTGTGGGGTTAAGGTTTTAAAAGTGGCTATGCAAGAATGAGATTTGAAAGATTTTGGGGAAGCAAAGGTGTCAATACTGCAAGAGCTGGTTTCTTCATATGTAGTTGTTGAAGTAGTGCTTTGTTTTTCAGAATTTGAATCTTGATCATAAGTTGATGAATATTGGCCATTATTGCAAAACCATATTGGGACTTCCATTAAATTTCTCATTAATTAGCTGCTGAGAAGTGATAACAGAGAAGCAACAAATTAATGAGAATAAGTGTTTGGAAGGGTTTGGTTTGAGGGGGTATTTGAAGGCTGTGACAAACTTTAGGGCAGAATAAAAAATGCAATGCAAAAGGGTACGGTTAGGGAATTAATTTGACGTCTGGCCCTTGATTTGGTACATAATAATCTTTTTTCAGACCTCTAATCGTGACTTTATGATGGAGCAAACTGTCATGTTAATGTTATTTGATTGGTCCAAATGTTGTCTAATGAGAATTTTCACATTTTTCTAATGAATGAAAAAGCAAACCTAGTATAGAGTAATATTATTTTTACTAGTTTTAGTTTACGTGTGTGTTGCACGTGTGCATCACGTTAAACAATATAATTGTATACAAAAAGAAGAAATTGTTGAAAATAACAATTGATAAATCAAATATTAATTTAAATCATAAAAATAATAATTATTAAATTGATACAATAACTGTGAATTTAATATCTTTTGAACATGCAAAGATGATGAATTTAATTGAATTAATTGTATAATATTTTGTGGTTAATAGATATTTTATTATTTAAAATACAAATATATTATGATATTGTATCTCATCTAACATCTCTTTAAAAACTTTATATTTATAATATTATTATACAAAAAGTACTAATTTTTTATTAAATAAAAGAGAGTGCACACTCTTTCCGTAGATATAAAATGGAATATAAAATTTTTATGCGAATTATTACCCGAATCAATCTGTTTTTTATTTTTCTGGAAAATAAAATGATAAAATCTAATTTTAATTTATCAAGATTTTAAAATAAATACTATATGTTAAAAAAATAAAGTTAAGCTACTTTTATAACAAAAGAGACTAAAAGTTTAAAAATGTGCTCTGAATTTTTCGTTGTTTCTTTCTTTTTTCTCGGGTTTGAGTCTAATATTAAAACCTTTATGTTTGATATTTATATGTCTTTATAAGCATGGTGATGGAATTTGTTCTTTGTAACCTAATTACATAAGGGTTTTTTTCAAAGTTCAATAAAATTATATGTAAGTTAAGTGGACCTCTTCTTGTAAAAAAACTAAAACTTTGTAGTTATTTTAAAGTTCCAAATATATTAGTTTATCAAAATATTAAAATAACAATTGTAGTTATAATTTTACATAGTATAGTTGTAGCTCGATTTATTTTTTAAATTAATATTACCATGTTAGTTTAAACTTCTAGAAATTTATACTTGAAATTAAAATTAACTCTTAAAAAGTCAAAACAAAAAAGAACATGCATTGCTGATTTCCAATGATTTTTAGGTATTCTATTATCGTTAATATTTGGGGAAAGAATCTAAGAATATGGAAAAATTTAAGTGCCACGTATTAAAATTCGAAAAAAATTTGAAGTTCATGCATAAGGATATAAAAGTTGGTCAAATAAGGAAAAATATTATATAAAATAAAAATAAAAATTAAATTTAAAGTCCTGAATATTAGCAATTTTTACATGATCCAACTAAGGAAAGATTTAATAAGAAGAATATTAGTTGATTTTGAAGTCCTAAATATTAGAAAAATAATCAAATGACTATTTTGTTTAGTATGAAATCTATTTTTAAAGGATAAAAAAGGCGAACGACATTTCGCCAAGGGCCTTCGTATTTTTAATATAGTATAGATATTTGGTCGTCTAGGCTCAGTCTATCACATTTAATTATGTAATCTAGCTCTCAACCATCTATACGTTATTTAGTGCAGCTTTTGTATCTAAATAAACAAAAATTTAATGTATATATTACTTTAAGTTAAATTTCCTTGGCTTCTTCGTATATTTGCCTTTTTATATTTTGATTTTGCTTAGTAAAAGTTCTGTTCCACCACTAGGGAGGAGGTAAGAATAAATGTAATTACTGGTCATCTCTCTTCTGGAAGGGGAACTTTAGAACAATAATAAAGTTGTCTTTGCATAATCTATAGTCACAAATTCGAGTCGTAAAAATAGCATAATCTTTACATTATGGTAAACTGTCTACAGCACACCCCTAAAGGTGTAGTCATTTCAACTTTTATGTGTATGCGAGATACTTTATGCTTTGTACCGGCCATATCTCTTCTCTTCAAACACGAGTACAACCGAGGAAACAAAAAGAAATGGCAGCAAAAATTAAAAAAGAGTGAAAGAGCTAGGAAGGGAGCCTTGAGTGAGAGTCAGGCTAGGGAAATTTCACGGGCACTTCAAAAATTAGGCATGAAATACCTTTTAAATAAACTATGGATGAAAAAAGAACAAAGATCAGACTCAACTGTGGCACAATTAGTTCAAATTCTTTGAATGCTATGAAATATTCTATTCTTATAGTCGCCATCGTAGAGATAAAATATAATATGTTTCTTTTCATTCCTTGTGAGCCACTTATTTCTCCGAAACAAGAGATTAAAGTTATCGTCTTAGAGAGAGGCATCCGTTGGTGATATGCGGAAATTGTGGAATTAGTCTGATAATGAAGCTCCATCAATATATTAGTAATTAATACCATTAACCGTTTTTCCGATTCTATGACAAAGTACTAAGAATTTGCTGAGATCTGTTCAAAAAGATGCACTCGTCGTTCGTCTTTAGTGTGCGAGTCGGCAGGTATATATGTTTCTGTTAACATATTATACTAAAACTAAAGGCAAAGCAAAGATGAAATTTATTATATAAGCCACTAAGTTTTTTAGCATGGCTTTGCAAATTAAAGTTGCTTTAGAACATTCTTGTTCGTAAGGTGACTCCACGTCAATTGTCAACCACTTTCAAGCTAATAGAGGAAAGGCATGACTCGTAATATCATTTGACCAACAAAAAAAAAGGACATGATCGTCTGTTAAGACTTTAGAGTGGAAACCAGTACTAATATTCCATATTTGACTTTAGCAATGAGTTTATTGAATATGCTGAAATAGAAAATTCTTATAATGTAAATTGTTTTTGGTGAAACTCTACTGTATATGCTGAAATATGATATGACACGTGGTCGTCTAAAGGGAGGACACGTGGAATCCAAGACGAGATGGTCGAAGACCGAACGCAGTCATTCCGCTTGTCACCGGAAAGGATAACGTTCATAAAGGTGAGTTAAATGCTCTGCGCCTGGTATCATTTAATAGGGAATATTCTGCAGCATTAAGAGCGACAGTCTGTTACAGAGAATTTGACATTTATGCTCACCGTTACGTTTTCATCAATGACCCTCATAATTGACATTAAAAGAGAGCACGATCCTAGGACCTTCTTCCCTAGACATAACTATAAATAGTGAGCTCAGTTATCATTGTAAAGGACACGATTTTTCTCGCTAAACATATACTACATTCTAACAAAGCTTAATACAATCTTACTTTCTTGCTTTTGATCTTATCATTGTTGTGCCCGGAAACCTTGTTCCCGGAACTGTCATCTCTGTTATTTCATCTACATTTCAAGGCTAACTATTGTATATTTCTTCAATTATTACATTATTTCAGGATCAAATTAGTTCACTTGTCTAGAAACCACGTATAAATTCAACTGTACCATTCTACGAGTAAATTATTTGGCACCCACCGTGGGACCTAGACAATCGTGCAATTAAATTGATCCTTGCCTTTTTTACTAACGCGATTTGATTATTTTGTCTTAGAAAAATTCATAAAAAATGGCAAATAACATCGTTAACAACACGCACAACTCTGAAATTCGAGGGGATCTGCCTTATTTCGAGGATTCAATCAGCGACACCCGCAATGAGAAAAATGACGTCACGCCGGTGCATGACAGACATAACCCTCGACAGGTTCGAGAGACAATTCCCGATGATGCTGATGAGGAGCATGTCATAGATGCGGTGAGGATCCCGCGAGAGCAACAGGCAATCATCCTAGGTCATCTCACACGGCATGATCCAGTTATGACAGAACTGAAGCAGGCACTATCGAGGGCTTCGATAATGCAAACAAATGAGATCCAATTCCTCCCAGTGTTCCCGCAAACCAAACGACGCAGAGAGTCGACAACAACACTCCCAGGGGCAAAGTTGGCTCTGACGGGGCTGGGGGAAGCAGATCCAGTCTCAACAACGAGAGTGACCCCTTCAAGAATGAACTTTTACGTTTTATGAGGGAAGTAAATGCCTGCATGGACCAAATCCCGGGCGCGCCACCAATATTGAAAGGCTCGGACTCGAAGAAGTATACTCAATTGACGTACAAGCCGAGCGCGACACCGGAACTAATCCTGAAGCAGTTCAGAATGCCTAAAATGCCAAAGCATGACGGGACTTCAGACCCACGGGAGCATATTACCACCTACACAATGGCAGTAAAAGGAAATGATTTAGCTCCTCATGAAATTGAATATGTGATGCTAAAGAAATTTGGAAAGACTCTCACGAGGGGAGCCCTAACGTGGTATTTATTATTACACGAGCATTCCATAGATTCCTTTGAGATGCTCGCGGATTCTTTCATCAAGGCTCATGTCGGTGCCAGAAAAGTACAATCCCGGAAGGCCGACATATTCAGGATCGTACAGGGAGAATCCGAATTACTACGAGAATTCGTTACCCAATTCCAGAAAGAAAGAATGTTGCTTCCAACTGTCCTGGATGAATGGGCAGCTGAAGCATTCACCAAAGGGTTGAATCCGAGAAGTTCAGACGCTTCCCGGAAGCTAAAGAAGAGCTTGCTTGAGTTTCAAGCAACAACTTGGGCAGATGACCACTACCGGTACGAGTCAAAAATAAGGATTGCAGATGACTAGTTCGGTACAACGTCATCGGCCAAAGGACGGTACAGGAGCATAGAAAAATCAAATGATTACTACGACGCGGACATACAGACTTTGAGGGGCCAATTTTTGCCCTACGAGCGGACCGAAGGTCATGGAAGAAACTTTCAGGCAGCAAACAAGTTCATCACTACCAGAGGGACCGATCATGGTCGAAATAATAGATTACTCTGGGATAAGAAGACG